TCGATCGGTTCATCGATATAGGAATCAGTAGAACACAATAGCGTGAACTATTTGTTGAATATATTATCTGCCTCTCACCGTTAATTCAGAATTTTGGAGCATGAATTCAAGGTATCAGAGCCATGAGGGACGGGTTTGGTTGCTCGCATCAAGCCTAACCAGGCCCTGCGCGGGAAGGAAATGTGTTCTTTGGTTGCCAGGCCTGCATCAGATTCTTGGCCTGCATGAACCTTAAAGCACTCCTCATCTAGGCCTGCTAGAAACAGCCGAATCGACCGTTTCAATGTGTCAGGCTCAAGCAATGCATGGGAAGGGAAGATGGCGCTGACCTCTTGCATCCACGGAGATGGTGGGAGCTCATGCGCATCTACGAAAAAGCAATGGGAGGAATAGACGTCACCTCTCGCTGAATCGGTCGCGATAACCAGCCTCATCTCACCATGAAAAACCTCGCCACCACTTCCCTCCTCTTGAGCTTTTCCTCCAGCATGGATCGACATCGTCGACGAGGTAAGCGACGCTCCTGCTCCAGCCCCCGATTGATGGCGGCGGCAATTCAACTCCACTTCTTCTTCGATGTGTTCAACGCCTACTTCGCGGCTGCTCCGATGACGTCTATGAGTTCAATCACCCCTTTCTCTCTACTAGTTCTAGCTAGACCTGTGAGCATGTGGTAGGGTTAGATCTGTGACCATGTTGTAGCCTTGTACACCGCTGATCTGTGTGGGTGTGATGTTCTGGTAGCTAGTGGTGATGGCTTTGAAGCATGATAGGAGTTATTTCCATGTCGGCAAGGATTGATAGCTAGTTGTGATGGAAGGATTGGTAGTATGCTTGATGTGTAGTATGCAAGCATGCAAGTATGTGTGCTAGTTTGTTGAACTCCTTGCTATGATTTGAGTTGTTGTGTTGAACTAGATCATATCGTCCATATGTAGTACTCCCTCGGTCCCAAAATAAGTGTCTCAAGCTTAGTACAATTTTGTACTAAAGCTAGTACAAAGTTGAGACACTTATTTTGGGACGGAGGGAGTATTTGTTTATACTATCCATGTTTAGTGCTAGTTCCTACTATCGATGTGTAGTGTGCTCTGTTCTTGCTGATGCTTACGCTTGTAGGACATGAGCACGCAAGAGTTTAATTAGGCCCTTATCGTGTCCTAGAGCTAGTTCACGGCGTCCTATGTCGAGGAATCCCAGCCTCCCATTGACCAGATGCCTCCTAATCAGATGTTTTCGAGGTGCCTGCTATAGTTCCACCATTTGTGGCTTCAGCATTTGTGATGGCTCAGCCCAATGTTGCAGCTCATGTTGCCGCTCAAAAGGCAGCCACAAAGGATAAGGAGGGCAGTGGAACTCCATGAAATGGCAGCCATTCCTGTCGATGTTCGTGCTTAAGAAGATGTGTGAAATCATAAATAGTGGGGTGAGGACAAACAAGGGCTTCAAGGAGGTGCACTTGAACGCTATTGCAAAGCAGGTGTTCAAGTTTTGTGGACAAGAGGTCACCTCGACTTAGGTCTATGACCACCTCAGAAAGTGGAGATCAAGGTGGATCATAGTGTCCAAGCTCATATACCTGAGCAGCGCTGGGATCAGGACACCTGCTTGATCCTTTTGGAGGCAGAAGACTACCAGGGACACACCGCGGTTAGCTCACGAACCATGCCATTCTAACTAACCACCTATTTAAGCCTATGTTCCATGTGATTCCATCTAACCACTCTGTTGTGTTTCTTTCTTAGTCTCACCCCAAGAACATAGAGTTTCTCAACACACCCATCCATAACTACCACCGGATGCGGCAGTTCTTCTCCTTCGGGCTAGCAATCGGCAAGCATTCTCTGGTCTCCGGTCAGCCGATGGGTTTGCCTAGACACCCAGGAGTGAGAGACCATCGTTCTTGATGGTCCTAACAAGGATGGTGACCACGTTCATGTGCTTGATAGGAAGAGGAAGACATGAGCCTTGATGGAGGACTAGCTGGCCATCTTCACCAGGATGACTCGGGTCATCAAGGAGGTTGCAAGCACCATCAGGGAGAGCAAGCTGGTCGACATCCATCCTGACCTCTACCGCACCATCGTGAACCAAGGTGGCTTCCACCCAGAGGCTCTAATGGTAGCTCTGAGCCCCCTACTGGACAACAAAGCCCAGGGTGTTGGGTTTGTTGCCATGGGAGACACCCGGTGCTCTGGCTCAGGACCTGGCTGGACAAGCACTACTACCAGTGTCGCTTCTGGTGGTGGTGATGACGTGCATGATCCTAGACGGCGATGGCGATGGTGATGCGAGGAAGATGACGATGACGATGTAAATTTTGTGGTAGGTAGGGCTTCATAAACTCTTGATGTTGGCATGTATATTTTGATGAGGTGGTATAGTAACCCCTCACGTCGATGGAGAACTTTCAGTGGTAGGATAACACCCTCTTTTGGATGTGGTGGTAGGATGACACCATATTAGTGTTAGGATGAACTTGCTATGCCATATGAACTGTTGCTCTTCCGCAATGCTAGGACAAGTGGTATGTGGTGTTTCAGGGGTTTACAGTTCATGGAAAGCATGCAATGAACAAGGGTCAGGTTACAAGAATAGCTGCCACAGAGGGTTTAAGAGTAGGCAGGCGACAAAGGATGCTTACTCCAATGTCATGCTTAAGCAGGCATGCAATGTTGAAAATGGTGAGGCGGGTCGACACTTTGGATTGAAGAACTTCATTATCTTTGTCCAGTTCATTGTGATTGTAGTGTTGTTTTGTTGGTGTGATCGTGTGTAAGGTGTAGCGGGTAAGCTCATCACTTAGGGTACAAGGTAACTACACCTCTATGCTTGTATGCAACCAAACAACATGCACTAGTATGAGCACAACCAATGCGAGCAACCAAACACAATATTTAGAGTCGTTGCCACGATACAGGACGAGGGGGTGCAAGCAACCAACATGTAGATGTTTTTTTTGCCTACATTAGCTCAACCAGGCTCATTTGGCAAAGTGACAAAAAACGATGCGAGCAACCAAACGCGTCGAGGTCTCAAGTTTAAAACCTCCAATACAATTTTTTTTAAAGATTCTGCGGCTACATCGATCCCATGTCTAAGGACTAAAAAAGCCTAGATGCGAGGGGGGTGTTGAAATATATTGCCTGTCTTTCTCCGTCAGTTCGGACTTTTGGAGCAACTGGCTGAAGCATGAATTCAATACTATTGACAATGTTATGTTGTTCTTACCTACTTTATTGATCATCGTAACAAGCAACTTGATGCAAACTGTGACATATATGTGCCTTATGGAAGGGCGTTGAAACAGCTGGATGCATTACAAATTCCGTGGATATCTTCAGGTATAACGTGTTGCGTTCAGCACGTAATCCTTACTATGCATGTCAACCTCAAACGACAGGGTTTCTGCAGTTTAAAAGAATGGGAGACACAGGTGAGTCAGTATCACCAAGAAGAGGTAAGAAGAATAAACAGTTTGTTAATAAGGTTGACCAGCGAGGTGGTTTATCTTTGTGGTAGAAGCGTACAGCGTAGTGCAAAGTGCAAGCAGGTTTGCCACGTATGTCCAACTCCGTTGACCAGGCGCACCATCAGAGTCAGTAGATTCAGAATGAAAATGTATTACAACGTTTTTTCCACTATATAGGTGAAACATTGCACTTGGCGCGATATGATAAAAGGCGAGAATAAGAAATCTTATTGACGAAAAGCAGCAGCCTTGGTTTCTTTTGCATTAACTAGGAGAGGAGTAATCAGAACTCCACTGGAGGACTGAGCTTCTCATCTTGGTTTTGGCAGCGTCAGAGTGGTCTTTTGTGTAGAATATCCTCACCAGAAGTGGAGGGAAAAGGCAAGAAGGAACGTCTGAATCTTAATGAAGGAAGAAATAGTAGAGTTTGGACTTTGGACCATCGTTCAGCAAGGTGCATGCAGACAGTTCCTGGTCCTCCAAGGTTCTAATACACTGGTCCACTCTTGAGCACACATTCATCTGGATTAACTGATATTTGTTTGTTTTCAAATTGCATCCTCCTAATCAAAGGAAGGGACAGTTCTGAAGCTCACCGGAATAGAACCTGGAAACCCACGCAGCCTTGGCCGTATTCCACGAGAAATTTGACCTGTCGCCGCCCTCCGTTGGACAGAATCAGCCCTCAGCCGCACCTACCGCAGGAATGCAGGATGAGACATCGACCCGGCTGACCCTATGATCCCAAGCTGGCACCACCCCGAGTTCAGTCTCCTTTCCGGCCAGCGCCAAGCAAACCACCACGTTTCTATTCTACTTATGGATAAACTACTAGACGAAAGGATCCGACATGGCACGCACTGAGGAGACCGGAGACCGGCGACGAGTAGGAAAAACGCCCTGCACTGAGCCTGCAGGCTGCAAGCACCTAGCTTAGCTAGCCACCACCTACTACGTGGAAACTTCCGGCCGAGAAGAAGCAGCGCACGCATGTGTTGGTGAGAGAGACCATAATAGCATTTCTAGTCCGATACTTGAATATTAGCCAATGGATGGATCCCGTCCAAGTTAACCCTGCTATATAAACCTCCGCGGCAGCACAACACAGCAGCAGCAGCCTAAGCCTGAGGCGAGGTAAGAGTTCACGAAGGAAGCGAGCTAACAAGGGTTAGCAAAGTGATTACCTCCGCCTCCGAGAAATCTATCGCCTCCTCGGAGTCAAGACAGCTCGTCGGCGACATGGACGCCATGGAGAGAGGCGAGCACGCGCCGCTCCTGCCGGAGGTAATTACCTCCTCCGATCTTCCTCCTCCTCTGCTGCCCCATGCATGATCATCACAATGGAGATTGAAATGCTAAGTCCAGAGCCATGCTTCTGCATCGGTCAAAACAAGAAGAACATTTGCGAACCTCCATATAAGACCGAGTCTAAATTAAAGAACATTTGGTTAATTCTTGCGTACGTCAGCACTGAAGGTTCTCTACATGCCAATATCCAGGCCCCTTCCTTTCCTAACCAGACAAGCACATGCGCACATCCACATCACGGTCGTGCTGCATCTTATCCAGAACTTGTACAGATTCGGTTGTCGTTCCTAACAATTTCTGCAATCTATCTCTGTTACAGAGTCATGGCCCAAAGGTTCAGGAGGATGACAGCCTGCAGCTGCAGGTGCCACTCCTGAAGCATAAGAAGCGGGGCGGCAACAAGGCACCAGCAGTGATTCTATGTAAGCAAAGCTCCATCTTCTGATTGCTTTTCCAGCCAACAAAAATGTACTGTAGATTAATTGGAGAGGAGCTAGTGTTTAACTGAACTTTCGCCATTGTTGGTGCAGTGTTCGAATGCCTGGAGAGCACGGCGTTCAATGGCATCTCCACCAACCTGGTGGTGTACCTGGAGACCGTCCTCCACGGCACCAACCTCGCCAGCGCCTCCAACGTCGCCACCTGGTTCGGCACCAGCTACCTCACCCCGGTCTTCGGTGCCATCATCGCCGACTCCTTCTGGGGCAACTACAACACCATCCTCGTCTCCCTCGCCGTCTACCTCCTCGGCATGATGCTCGTCACCTTCTCCGCCTTCCTGCCCACGACCACGGCGGCGCTGTGCGCGGCGGGTGCATCGTGCGCCGGCACCGCCAGCACGTGGGGGCTGAGCTCGCAGACCGTGGCTTTTGTTGGGCTGTACCTGGTGGCGATCGGGTGCGGCGGGGTGCGCTCGTCGCTGTTGCCGTTCGGAGCGGAGCAGTTCGACGACGACAGCGCGGCGGACCGGGAGGGCAAGACGTCCTTCTTCAGCTGGTTCTACCTATGCGTGAGCTTCGGCCCCATCATCTCCGGCGTGTTCCTCGTCTGGATCCAGCAGAACGTTAGCTGGGGCCTCGGCTTCGGCATCGCCACTGCCTGCATCGCGCTCGCCTTCGCCGCCTTCGTGCTCGCCACGCCCATGTACAAGCGCCGCATGCCCGCAGGCACGCCGCTCAAGAGCCTCTGCCAGGTCGTTGCCGCCGCGTGCAAGAAAATCAGCATCAAGGTGCCCGCGGAAGCCGGACACCTCTACGAGGTCAGCGACAAGATCGATTCGCCCCAGCCAAGGATCGCGCACACCAGCGACTTCAAGTTCCTCGACAAGGCGGCCATCGTCACGGAGTCGGACATGGAGGAGAGGCCGGAGGCGGCGACCTCGTGGAAGCTCTGCACCGTGACTCAGGTGGAGGAGCTCAAGATCCTTCTGCGGCTGCTGCCCGTCTGGATCACCAGCGTCATCGTGTCATCGGCCTACTCGCAGATGAACACCACGTTCGTGCAGCAGGGCAGTGCCATGGAAATGACCATCCTGTCGGTGCCGGTGCCCGTGGCGTCGCTGGTCTCGTTCGAGGTGACATGCGTCCTGACATGGGTGCTCCTCTACAACAAGGTGATCGTGCCAGCGGTTAGGAGCTTCTCCTCGAGCGGCGACGGCGAGCCGTCACAGCTGCAGCGGATGGGCGCGGGGAGGCTCCTCATGGCGCTCACCATGGCGGTGGCGGCGCTCGTGGAAATGAAGCGGCTCGACAGCGCGGCGCGCGGGGAGGAGATCAGCATCGCGTGGCAGCTGCCGCAGTACTTCTTCCTGGCCGGCGGAGAGGTGTTCTGCTACATCGCGCAGCTGGAGTTCTTCTTCGGCGAGGCGCCGGACACCATGAAAAGCATGTGTACGTCGCTCGCTCTGCTCACCATCGCGCTGGGGAGCTACATGAGCTCCTTCATCTACGCCATCGTGGAGGCCTTCACGGCGACGGGAGACAGCCCCGGGTGGATCTCCGACGACCTCAACAAGGGCCACCTCGACTACTTCTTCTGGGCCATGGCTGCAATGTGCACGCTCAACTTCGTCGTGTACAGCGGCATCGTCAAGAACTACAGGCTCAAGACAGTCATCTCGTGATCGCTCGCGCAAGGATTCAAGATTCCATTACATTCTACAGACATTACACAGGAAAGAGTAATTAGGAGTAGCCAGGTACCTTTTTTTTAGAAACTTGTAGCCAGGTACATATATACACAAGAAACACTAGGAAGAAAATGTAAGATATAGAATTTTGTTTTCAGTCTTGCTAAGTCGCAGTCATCTAAGACTTCGTTAAGTCTCAGTCGATGCTGTATGATGTGGGAATTAGACGTTGTATTCCTCATGTGCAAACGTACGTATATATGATGTACAAGAGGTGGACCACGACCTCAACTATACAAGGAACTAGGACGTGGACCCAATACACAGATATGCACAACACATATACTCAACACCCCCCACAGTCAAAGCGGCATAGCTGCTGACGCAAAGACTGGACCGGAACTCTTCAAATGACGCCGTAGGCAAGCCCTTGGTCATGATATCTGCAAATTATTGGGAGGTAGGGACGTGTAAAACACGAATATGGCCAAAGGCCACCTGTTCCCGAAGAAAATGAATATCCAACTCAATATGCTTGGTCCGTCGATGATGCACCGGATTAGTGGAGAGGTAGACCGCCGAGACGTTGTCGCAATAGACCACCGTGGCACGGTCAACAGGGCAGGAGAGCTCCTGAAGCAGCTGGCGAAGCCACGAACACTCGGCGACGGCGTTGGCCACCGCGCGATACTCAGCCTCAGCACTGGAACAAGAGGCCGTAGGCTGCCGCTTGGACGACCACGAGATGAGTGAGGGTCCAAGGTAGACACAATAGCCCGAGGTGGAGCGACGAGTGTTGGGCAGCCCGCCCAGTCTGCATCGGAGCAGGCGGTGAGGGCGGTGTCGGCGGAGGCATGAAGCGTGACGTCAAGATCCATAGTGCCACAGACACAGCGGAGAATCCGCTTGACAGCGGCCCAGTGAACGTCCCGAGGAGCATGCATATGGAGACACACCTGCTGCACGGCATACTGGATCTCTGGTCGAGTCTGCAAAGCACCAACGATAGACCGGTAGAAAGCAGCATCCGAAGCAGGAGAACCATCCATGGCAGAAAGCTTGGCCTTCGTATCAACAGGCGTGGCAGAGGGCTTGCAGTTAAGCATGCCAGCACGCTCCAGGAGCTCATAAGCGTACTTCCACTGATGAAGAAAGAAGCCATCCAGACGGCGCACCACCTCAACACTGTGAAAGTAGTGCAAAGGACCTAAGTCCTTGATGGCGAACTCAGCACGAAGATGAGCCGTGAGCTGACTGAGAAGACCAGCCGTACAGGTCGTCAGGAGGATGTCATTGACATAGAGCAGCAAGTAGGCCGTGTCAGAGCCCTGGTGATAGACAAAGAGCGATGCGTCCGAGCGGGTAGAGCGGAACCCAATCTGGTGTAGAAACGTCGCGATGCGCTGGCACCAAGCGCATAGAGCCTGCTTGAGTCCGTACAAGGACCGCGAAAGCAGGCACACGTGGTCGGGAAACGCAGGATCGACAAACCCGGTGGGCTGTTGGCAGAAGACCTAGTCCTCGAGGTGACCATGGAGGAAGGCGTTGGAGACGTCCATCTGGTGCACCGGCCAAGCATGTGAGACCGCAAGGTGGAGAACCATGCGTATCGTGCCGGGCTTGACGACCGGAGCGAAGTTGTCGGTGAAGTCGATGCCAGCACGCTGTCGGAAGCCACGAACAACCCAACGCACTTTATAGCGATCATGGGTACCATCTGGACGGAGCTTATGTTTGAAAACCCACTTCCCGGTAATCATGTTGTCGTGCCAGGGATGGGGAACAAGCTGCCACGTCCGGTTGCGCAACAGGGCGTCAAACTCCTCTTGCATCGCAGCCATCCAGAGCGGGTCATGAAGAGTGGCTCGAACGAAGGACGGCAATGGCGACGGCTCGTAGGTGGGAGCATCATGGAATTAGCGATGGAGAAGGGTTGGTGATGACAAAGAATGAAGACCCCCCTCTCCGGAGCCCCAAACGGACTCCAGATCTGTCCTCCCGAGGAAGAACAGGGCTTGGTGACGGCTCTATCTCGTGGATCGTGATAATTCTTTCTCCCTAATTTTTTCTCCGAAAATAGGAATTTATAGTGTCAGGGTTGAGGTATGCGGGACCACCAGGTGGGTACAACCCACTTGGGTGCGCCAAGAGAGGGGGCATGCCCTGGTGGATTGTGCCCACCCAGGTGCCCCTCTCCGACAGGTCTTGGCTCCAGAAATTCTTATTATTGATACAAAAAATCCTCGCAAAGTTTCGTTCCATTCTGGGAACTTTTATTTCTGCACAAAAACAACACCATGGTAGTTCTGCAGAAAACAACGTCAGTCCGGGGTTAGTTTCATTCAAATCATGCAAATTAGAGTCCAAAACAAGAGGAAAAGCGTTAGGAAAAGTAGATATGTTGGAGATGTGTCAACTCCCCCAAGCTTAAACCTTTGCTTGTCCTCAAGCAATTCAATTGATAAACTGAAAGTGAAAAAGAAAAACTTTTACGAACTCTTTTGCTCTTGTTTGCATAAATAAGCTTAAACAACACCCAGGTTCTCAGCCAATCATTATAACTAACCATGTCAACAATAATTCTTAAAGATCATAATGGCTCATATGAATGACATAATCAGCTAACAAGCGGTAATAAGGTATCTCAAACGGCAACACGTTGTAAAAACAACCATGATATAATATGACAATAGTGGTATCTCGCTAGCCCTTTCTGAGACCGCAAAACATAAATGCAGAGCACCTCCAAAGTTCAAGCAGCGACTAAACATTGTAATTCATGGTAGAAAAGATCCAGTCATGATGCACCCAACATTAGCTACACATAATGCATAAATCATGACAGCTGTGCACTACTTAGTTTCTGGCGCTTGTTTTAGAAGGTGGTGACACAACATAAAAGTAAATAGATAGTCCCTTCGCAGAGGGAAGCAGTGATTTGCAGAGGTGCCAGAGCTCAAATTTTTTAAAATAGAGGAAAATGATTATTTTCAGACATGCACCCTTCTTATTCACTTCACGACCATCAGTTATCAATATCTCCCATGCTAAACAAGCTAGTGGCGGTTCCCAAGCGATAAAAGTAAAGGTTTTGACTCCATTGGGAGTTTTTGTTTGATTATTCAAGAGATAAACTCTTTTTCATGTTTGCAGTTTGGTACTGGGCATCCCTAATATCGCCTTTTTCTCGTGCCATGGCGAGTGAATAAACACTCGACCTGAGAATAACCCGCTTAGCATGGAAGATACCGACCACCTCCTGTCGTTCCATGAACGATTCAGGCACACAAAACGGATAATTTTTAAAAGTTTTTAGAGGTGGCACATGCAAATTTACTTAGGACGGCAGGGTAATATCGTATATAGGTAGGTATGGTGGACTCATCTGGAATAACTTTGGGTTCAAGGTTTTTGATGTACAAGCAGAATTCCCACTTAGTACAGGCAAAGGCTAACAATTTAGGTTGAGAAGGGCCAGCTAGAGAGCAACAACGATCATAACCGTGCATTATGCATAAGTAACATTGGACACTAGCATGAGTAGGATATGAACACCATGAACATAAATATCATAGAGGCTATGTTGGTTTTGATTCAACTACATGCATGAACATGTACCAAGTCAAGCAACTCGAACATTCAGAGGAGGATACCATATCATCATACTACATCACAATCATTTTAACGCTATGTTGATATCCAAGATAAATCATTATCAACTCCCAGCTACTTATGCATTGCATGAGAAACTATAATGTCTAATTGTCATTGCAAACCTGTTTAATCATAATGGGCTAAAGCATGGGTGCTAGGTTAAACACATTTACACAAACAGAACAAGTCGAGTTTATACCAGTTTCTCTCTGCCACGGCCAGTTCATCGAATATCATCATTAATGCCTTTCACTTGCATGACCGGATGATATGAAAATAATAATAGTGCAAGAATGCCGTGGACTAAGCTGGAATCTGCAAAAAAAATATTCAACAGGAGAAGACAAGGTAAATGTGCTCTTTATTAGTTCAACAATTATTCATATGAGAGCCACTCAACATTTTCATCGTGGTCTTCTCCTCGGTAAGACTCGAATAAAAAGAAAAGAAATTCAGAGAAACACACTAAAATATTTTTGGAGTTTTTGGTTTTCTAGAACAGGTAAATAAAAGGGAAAAGCAAAAACAAGAAAAACTATTTACACGGAAAAGCTCCCCACAAGCAAAAGAAGAACAAGGAAATCTTTTTGGGTTTTCTTTTTAATATTACAACTAAGCATGCATAGAAAGTAAATTGACTACAACTAATTTTTTTTGGTTTTTCTAAAGTTTTTCAAACACACAAGAAGAAAGCAAGAAAATAAATATAAGCATGGATGATACAATGAAAAAGTGTGAACACCGACAAATAGAATGATATGTGTGAACATGAATATAATGTCGGTGAGAAACACGTACTCCCCCAAGCTTAGGCTTTTGGCCTAAGTTGGTAATCGATCAGTAGCCTGGAGGGTAGTAGGGGTGCTGAGGAGCAGGTATCCACTCATCACACTGCTGAGGCTCCTCCCCTGCCTCTGCGGCAGCTTGAGCATTCCGATAGGCGATGATGTCTGCAGGCATAATCCTATATCCGCCCAGGCAACAGAATCAAACAAAGCAGGTGCAGGCAGAGGAATAATATCACGAGTTTTAACGCTAAAGACCAGGTTATAAGGAATGGGGATGTTAGGATAATCTCGTGCAAGAAAATGATGGTGTTCCATGGCTGCACGGTCTAAGTAAACCTTGGTCAAGGGGTAATCATGAGGGCGTATCCCAACATTAAAGTGGGCCGCCAAACGAGTAGCAAAAATCCCACCATGTATTTCACCCTGGGATTTATTAAGATGGAGGCAACGAGCCACAATAGCTCCCAAGCTATGAGTGTTGTCGCCCTCTAGTGCTCGGCATAAAACAACAAAGTCTGGTGCGCTGAGCGCACCTACTTTCTTTCTAGCAAG